GGAGCGCTGCTGCGCTCCCAAGCGGCGCACTGTAGCAGTGCGCCACCGGGCCAGCCCCAAACCCTGGTTTTTTATTTACCTATCTGCTCTTCCACAAGCCAGTGAGGTCCCTATGAACACATTTAACAAATTTAGCTAATGGTTTTTAAGAACTTAGTATGTTCCAGACTCTGTGGTGGGTGCTAAGGATGCAAAGGTAAAACCCACCTCCTGCCCTCAAGGAACTTAGAATTTCATACTAAGGCAAACATGCAAATAATTGTCACAACTGCTTTATAAAAGTGGTATTTATGGTACAGCAGGAGAAAGAGGGCAAAGAAGATGTAAGTCTAACTGGGGGGGTAAGGGAAGGTTTGATAAAGGCAACAAAGGTGCAGCTGGATTAGGAAGGGATCTCTAATCAATCAAGCAAAAAATCAATTATTTCTTTTAGTAGGTAGGCATGTCAGAGGCATGGAAAAGCATGAAAGCATGACAGAGCATGATGTCATGCTCCCCATGTCTGAGGACACAGAGATAGCTTAGTAATGCTGAAATGTAAAGTAAAAGAACAGAATGAAAAAAGTTTTTCAAATTCACCTCTTTCCTATTCTACTAGCAAGGACACTGGTATATATCAGAAGAACATACGGATGATATCAACACAGAACAACGCAGATAAAGTAAACACCTGCCCATTTTTGTCCACATGACAGCTTTCTATGTATTCCTAGGAGTTGTACCTATTTTAACTAATACACTGTCAATGTTGCTGGGTCAGCAAAGAATGGGGCTCCCAATAAAGGTCTCTAGAGTCATGATTTGCCTTATCCATACTAGTGCACATTTCTTTGATCATTATTTGTCTAGAAGTATGAGGAAAACTTAATACTGAGTTTAGAATAATTCTAGGTTCCTCTTGACCCTGACTTGGACACTAGGGAAAGAACCAAAAAAAAAAATGAAGGAAACTAACAAAACAAAACTTCTCCTGGGTATAAGATAACATCTTCTTCCTGCACAGGACACACAGTTCTTACAGTTCCTTGAGAGCAGAATCAGTCATTGTTATAATGAGAAATCAAGGGAAAAAACAACTGCACTTAACAGCATCTACTTTGACACTAAGGAAAGTAGAGATACTGCACCTTTGGTCCTCGATGCTTGGTAGTTTTTCCCATCAATTTTTCATCATCAATTTCACATTGTTCCAGAAGATCCAAAATATCTTCCTCCTTCAAAAAATATTTTAATTAAAATCTCCACAAAAGTGTACAACAAGAATTCCTGAAACTATTTAGTGATGATTGTTCAGATGAAAGGAGAAATGAAGGGTCATCACAAATTCTCTTGAAGAAACTTTCATTAAAATCTGGCAATACAAATAATACATAGCTGAAATCTATTTTATATTAATTATCATAAGCAAATATATCTGTATGTTCCAGTATACTATTAAAATCTTAGAATCTTACTGAACCCCAATAAATTAGCCCGTTGGACACTTTAAAATTTCTAGAAGTTCACTCCTACTTTCTAGACTATAATTTTATCAATCATTTTTATGATGATTAGTGCAAAATAATATTAAAACTCTTAATATTAAGACTGAAAATGAATGATCGACCTAATAGTTTCATTCAGAAACAATCTAAAGTTACTATTTAGTTAATGGGTACTATTTAATAAAACTCTTTCAAAATTCTAACTATTGCACAAGAGTATTTTTGGAGCTTTGTGAAAGGTTTTTATCCCACAGTCATTAATGGCAGCACAAACCACAAGTGCCCCAACACATTCTCTTGTGCTCTTCTAGAGTCGTTTTGAAGTCAAAAGGAAAAGTTAGAAAAACATACGCCCCAGTGGATGTTGAGCAAACCAGAGCAATAGAAGTAAAAGGACTATAACAAAAGAGGTATAATCAACTGCTTCATTCAGTTATTTATTCAACCTATAAAAGTATCAAAATTTTACTTATATATTAATGATTTGTACTTTAATATCCTTTTAATAAGTGCAGTAGAAATTTTTAAAGTAAGTTTTACTTTTTGTCCCAATCTAAGGAAGTTTAGCTATTGAAATACCAAAAGACTTTTGTTATACAAATTTGATTAAATAATAATCCTACAATGAATTCCAAAGATAGTATGAGATAGTTAAAAAGAAACTCAAGGAGTTCAGCTTCTGTTTAGGAGAAAGATCATAACAAACAATACTTTCATCATAACAGTTAAACAATCATATTTTTTAAAACATCAGAAAGCTGGGCCGGCCCGGTGGCGCACTGGAGAGTGCGCCGCTTGAGAGCGCGGTGGCGCTCCAGCCGAGGGTTCGGATCCCATGTGGAGACCGGTTCCCGCTCACTGGCTGAGCACGGTGTGGGAGCAACACCGAGGGTTGCGATCCCATTGCCAGTCCCCGGTACGGGCGCAACACCGAGGGTTGCGATCCCGTTACCGGTCAGTAAAAAAGACAAAAAGGAAAAAAAAAAAAGAAAGAAAACATCAGAAAGCTATAGATAAAAAGTAGTATAAAAGAACTAAATTCCAGAGAGGGCCAATTTCTTCCTAGTGAGCAGAAAGGAGTAGCCACTTTCTACTTTGGGGTCATTTGTCAATTCTGGACATAGATGGGTAGAAATTAGGTCTATAATAGGCAGAGATTGTGCTGTGATGAAGAGAATCCTCTTGAAATGCTCCCTTTTGGAACCCTGAGTTACTATATTAAGAGATCTGGCTACCCTGCTGAGAGACCATGTAGACAGAAAGAGATATCCATCCAGCACCCAGTACAGCTATCCTATCTTACGTACCAGTTGTATGAGTGAAACCACCTTGGATTTCTAGCTCCAGTGGACTTTTCAGGTAAATGCAACTATATGATTCACTCCAGGAAAGACCAGCAGAACAACCATTCAACTGTGCCCAGACTAGATTGCAGAATAATGAACAAATAAATGAAGTAGTTTGTTATGCTGCAATAGATAACTCATAGGCCTTTTATGTAAGTTAACAGATTTAAGAGTGTGTGTGTGCGTGCGTGTGTGTGTGTAAATACTCCTTCTCATATGCTAGGTCTGTGCAGAAAAAATGATGTACAAGGCACATGGAAAAATGCTCTACATCACTAAGCATCAGGAAAATTCAAATCGAAACCACAATGAGATATCATCTCACCTCAGTTAGACTGCTATTAACAAAAAGACTGAGAATAACAAATGCTGGCAAGGATGTGGAGAAAAGGGAACTCTTCTACACTGTTGGTGGGACTGTAAACTAGTACAGCCATTACGGAAAACAATATGAACGTTTGTCAAACAATACAGATAGAACTACCATATGATCCAGCAATCCCACTTCTGGGTATATACCCAAAGGAATGGAAATCACCACGTCGAAGGGATACCTTCTATTGTTGTTCTATTTATGACAGCCAACATATGGAACCACCCTAAATGTCCTTGACGGATGACTGGATAAGGAAAATGTGGTATACACACACAATGGAATACTACTCAGCCATAAAAAAGAATGAAATACTACTATTCATAATGGTATGGATGAGTTTGGAGAAAATTATGTTAAGTGAAATAAGCCAGGCACAGAAAGAGAAATACTGCATGTCCTCACTCACATGTGGGAGCTAAGAAAAGAATGAAGAGAGGAAGGAAATGGGGGGAAGGAAGGAAGGAAGGAAGGGAGGGAAGAAGCAAAGAGAGAGAGAAAGACAGACAGACACAGACCGCAACAGAAGGTTGAACTCTCAGAAGGATAGAACAGACCTATAGTTAGAAGAGATGGGAAAGGGGGAGGGAGAGGCGGTTAGGGAGCAATTGGGTGAGGGACACAAAGAGTAATTACGATTTGTAATGATGAACATGCTAATAATATTGATTTGATCATCACATACTGTACACAAATACTGATGGTCAACTCTGCACCCCATAAATATGTATAATCAAAATAAATAAATATTTTAGAAAAAAGATAATTTTAAAAAAGAAAAAATGCTGTATAATGTTAGTTGTAATCCAAATGATGAGTGTCATAAACCACTGGGTTAATTCAATGGATTTCTTTATCCAGTTACATATGCACATCTATGTAATAAGACATATTATTACAATATGTTGATATTACAACATACTATCAAAATTTTCTACTCCATAATTTGTCCTGCTAGACATCTTATTTATGAAGTCATTTGGTTCTTTATGAAATGTTACCAACTGATAAAATGAAATGCCTAAGTACATCTTAAAAGTAAAATGTTTTTTATATGTAGGACCAAGGTAGGTTATTTTAAAGACATATTGTTTTGGCTTCGTTCTTTTTTCTCTATATAAACACTCACTCTCTTACCTTCATCCTTTTCAAAGGATTGTTCAGCTCTCGCTGGAATGAAGCTGCTCTTCCTGAAAGGAACGTCTGAAAGGCAACAGCCAACAAATTTTCATACTTTTCAAGTAGTGTTTTATCTTCAGGAGGATAAATTCGTCTACAATAAAATCAGATAAACAAATTTGTTTAAAAGAAGCTATCATAGCTCAATACTTAAGGTCAACTGCTTGGATAATCCTTGACCTCCTACCCTGTGCCAGTCACATTACCAAGTGCTAGAAATAAAGATGAATATAGTTATGAGGAATTCATAAATTTTCATCTGTTACCCACACAAATTAAAGTTTATCTACAAACTTATCATTAAACAATGCAGTTCCAGAAGGTACAGAGTTTGGTTGGGGGAAGTAGATGGAGAAAAATGGCAATAGGGTAAATTGGAGAAATATAAAACTATGGGAGAGAGTTCAGGTGATGAGCGATAATGTGAAAGTTTTTGACTTAGGTTACTGAAGTATACAAGGCATTAGTATGATGATCTCTTTGGTGGTGATGGAATTTGCCCCTCTAGTAGAGAGAGTTGGGTAGAGGTAGGGTGGGAGGAATGTGTTCGCATCACTACTGTTAATGGTGTTACGGCCAGGAAAGAACATCTTGCTGGAAGTGTAAGAAACTACACCGTCCTTAATCCTGCTGAGGCCATGTCAAGGCTTGGGAGGAAGGGCAATCTTTCCAAGAACACAAGGAGCTTAGGGGGGTCCCTTTTGACCCTGTCAAGGGCGATACTGCAGAGGGGTTCCAGTTCAGCTCAGTCCACACCCCTCTGTATTGTCTCATACCTGATTCCTTCAAACATTTTCATTATTTGCCTGGTTCCTAAAGCATTTGAGTTTAAAAGTACAGCAACCACTATTAATTGGCAGAAAGAATGCAAGGAGACCTCTATCCTGATTTTCTTAGTATATCACATTATAACCAAACATAGTCACAGGATAATAGCTGGTTAAAAAGACCGCCTACAACCACCCGAGAGGCTGGCTAGCAGGAGCTCTCTCAAGTTTAAACCATCCACTTGCTGACTCCCTTTCTTTCTTGAAAGGTATTAAGCAAAAAGCACTTTCTCAGAATGAAAGAATAGGGATTAAAATAAGCCAAAAAAGGCTAAAGAATGTGGAATGACTGCTTTGACGCTTCACCTCAATCTATGCAAAAATGACGGCACAGTTACCTGTAATTCCCCATATGTCGATTCTCATGTTCTTCTCGTGAGATCTGCTTTCGTACTTGAGCGAGTCTCTCTTTCTAGAAATGAAGAAAGTTTACAAGTAAAACTTGACAAATGAATCACGCAAATAAAATTGTGGATACTTTGCTAAAATTTTCATACCAACTCTTCTTTCCGTCTCTCCAATTGGTGTCTCTGCTGTTCCCAGTCTGATGAACCTGGTAAGAGCCTTTTTAATGAATTTTGACCATAAAGTCTCCTTTGAGCCTCAGCTTTTTGTTTGGCCAAGTTTCTCCTTTTATCACTGGTCCTAAAATATAAAACACAAGACCATATCCTAGAATTCAAACAAGTTCTAATCTTAGCCCTGTGAGGAGAATTTGCAGAAAAGGAGACACAGAGAAGATAGAAATCAATGTTTATTAAATTTATATGTTCACATACATTATATTCATCTAACCATCCATCAAATATGGGACTCTGTACGGTAGACAGAAGTTCTGACGATAACAAGATAAAATGGAAACAATGCTGTGTTTTGAAAAGTTACAGAGATCTAGTTTTGTATTACATCCTAGCAGCTTACATCTTAGACTGATCAATTAACTGCTAAGTCTGTTTCCCCAGCTATGAAACAGTAACAATAATGTTTCCCTCCTAGAATTCTTATGAAGACTAATTTGTGATAACATTAATAGGTACTTAATAAATGTTGGTTCTCTTTTCCTCTTTCAACCAATTCCATTTGTATTTAAATATTCTCATTTATATTGACCACTCTTTAGTACATTTTCAGTTCTGGCTGAAATCCCAGTCTAACAATCATTATTTATTTGAAAACATCTGCACAGTCCTTCTCATTTTCTGCTCAGCCATGAAAATTGAGTTATAACTCTCCAATTTTCTAGGAAAATCCTGTCGTGGGATTGTTTTCCTCTGAACCTCCGTCCTCTCCTTTCCCTTCCATGCAGCCGGTGCAATAAGATAAGCCTGAGGCTTCTTCTCCCCAACCCCTCCAACTCACACTCTTACATACTACCCTTGAAAGACCTAGCAGAAATCCTGTCGTGGGATTGTTTTCCTCTGAACCTCCGTCCTCTCCTTTCCCTTCCATGCAGCTGGTGCAATAAGATAAGCCTGAGGCTTCTTCTCCCCAACCCCTCCAACTCACACTCTTACATACTACCCTTGAAAGACCTAGCAGAACAGGCAAAGACAATTCTGCCTCCAACCTCAGCAAAAAAAGAGTTCTTATCCTTTAGCTTACATTTCCGTTCTTCTATCTTCATCATCTTGGTAGGGCTCAGGTAAGGGTATAAACCAAAAGAAAGGGAACAAGAAAGCTATTTAGCCAGCTTCTATTGTGGAGAGGTAAAAGAAGTGCTTGTTTACATAAGGTCCCATTCAATTTATCAGGCAATTCCACTAAGAATATAAACCCTATACAATTAAGAGTATTCTTTTGCTTCAGGTATGTACCACCTTCACAACTTAAACTTCAGGAATATGAGGAAACTGATCCATTCTCTTTCATGACAAGATTGAGGCTTGAATGGCAGTTCAACAGGCCATCAACATAGAAGGAATAATTTGATAAAAGAAGTAAACATCGGACCAGCCCGGTGGCGCACTCAGTAGAGTGCGGCGCTCCCACCGAGGGTTCGGATGCCATATAGAGACCGGTCTGCTCACTGGTTGAGCGCGGTGTGGGCGCGACACCAAGGGTTGCGATCCCGTTGCCGTTCGCGGTACAGGCACGACACTGAGGGTTGCGATCCCATTACCGGTCACAAAAAAAGACAAAAAGGAAAAAAAAAAAAAAAGTAAACATCCAGAAAATTGCAAGTCATTCAGTACAGCTGGGGCTACAGGTGAATGCAAAAAACTCAGCTAATCATAAGCCCTTGAACAGGTTACTGAGTCCCAAATCTAACTTTCAGCAATGGAGAGGGTCATTAATTTTGAAAGGAAAGGGGCATAATTACATTTGCATGTATTAAAGATTATGTTCTTGTCAGTATGTACAGTAGCTTAGAAGTAGATGGAAAAAGAATCAGGAAGTTAAAATAAAATGCTATTTCATTAGCAAATATGAAATGTAAGGGCCTGGACCAGGGAAGCAGCTATAGGATTAGAGAAAAAGGGTAGGTTTAGAAAAATATTCTGGAGAAAGAATGGACATCTATTGGTGACTAATTAGATGTGAGCAATAAGAAAGAAGGATGAACTTGTAATGACACCGAGATTTCTTATTTTAGTGAGTGGGTGATTGAGAATATTTTTTTAAATTTTTATTTCTCCAATGATCAATACAAATTCAGCTCTGAGTTTCCTCAGTTAAGGGAAAAGATAGCTCTTAACTTTTTTATTTATTTATTTATTTATTTGTTTGTTTGTTTGTTTGTTTGTTTGCATAGTTCGTTTTTTTTATTGGTTATGAATATTCATGGGGTACAAAACTGATTGTCACCACTCGTGCCCAAGATGTGATAGCCAGATCCATACTAGCAGCATGCCCATTACTACAAATTGTGATTATACCCCATGTCTGCCACCCAATTATCCCCAACCTCCCTCCCCATCCCTCTTTCCCCCACTCCACTTCGTATCCCTAGGTATGTTCTCTCCCTCTGAATGTCCAACACACCACTGTGGTCTTTCTTTCCTTCCTTTTTTCTCTATTAGCTCCCACTTATGAGTACATGTGGTATTTATCCCCCTGTGCTTTGCTTATTTCACTCAACATAAGTTTCTCCAAGCTCATCTATGTCGTTGCAAATAGGAGAATTACATTATTTTTTATGACAGAGTAGTATTCCATGGTGTATATGTACCAAAGTTTCCTTATCCAATCACCTATCGATGGACATTTAGGTTGGTTCCATATCTTGGCTACTGCAAACAGAGCTGCAGTGAACATGGGAGTGCAGGTATCCTTTCGACATAATGATTTCCATTCCCTTGGGTATATCCCCAGAAGTGGAATTGCTGGATTGTATGGAAGATCAATCTGTACTTGTTTGAGAAACCTCCATACAGTTTTCCATAGTGGTTGTACTAATTTACAGTCCCACCAACAGTGCAGGAGTGTTCCATTCTCTCCACACCCTCACCAGCATTTGTTATTCTCCATCTTTTTGATTATAGCCAGTCTAAAAGGGGTGAGGTGGTATCTCAATGTAGTCTTAATTTACATTTCCCTGATGACTAGTGATGTTGAGCATTTTTTCATGTACCTGTTGGCCATTTGTATGTCTTCCTTTGAAAAATGTCTATTCAGCTCCTTTCCCCATTTTTTAATTGGGTTATTTGCTTTTTTACTGTGTGATTGCTTGAGTTCCTTGTATATTATGGATATTAATTCCTTGTCGGATGCATGGTTAGCAAAAATTTTCCCCCACTCTGTAGGTTGTCATTTCACTCTGTTGATTGTTTCCTTTGCTGTGCAAAAGCTTTTTAGTTTGATATAGTCCCATTTCTTTATTTTTCTTTTGTTGCCTGTGCTTTCAGGCTCATGTTCATAAAGTCTGTGCCCAGACTTTTTATTTTTATATAATTTTAATTTTTCTAACAATGAATACAAATTCAGCTCTCAGTTTCCTCAGTTAAGGGAAAAGAAAATGTCATGGTTTAGATAGCTCTTAACTTTTTTATTTTTTTGATATTCCATTTTACACAGAATGATCATTTCTATATAGTATTCAGTTTACAAGAAAGTGGGGAGAGGAAAAGGAAATAGAAATGAAAAGAAGAAGAGAGAGGAACAAAGATCAAACAATCAGTATGGAAAAAATGGAGAGAGGAAGCAAAAAAGGGAAGCAAAGGAAAGAGGAAAGGAAAGTAAAAAAGGACTGAGATGCTATGACGAGTACGCTGTGAAATAAATGAACAAAGATCTACATGCATATCCACAACAAGACTCTCAAGACAAAGATACTGATAAATGAACCGTTCACACACACAAAGAAGAGTAACAAAACTAAGCACACATAGAAGTTCACTCAGACATACCAAAAAACAAATAAAAGCCAACCATGATGAAATATTTTTTTATAAAGGAACACTCCTATATTCTGGACTTTAAGAACACAGTCATTCTAAAAACTGTGTTGCATTTCTATAAATACAGGCATAAATTAGCCCTAAAACTCAGTACTTAATGCACAGACCAGAATAAAATTTAACCATAGACTGAAAGTTCACCACTCACTTAGTATTTTAATCAGCTTTTTTCCATTTAGCTGTATTCATATACTGACCTAAGGGGTTTTGTGTACCACTCTCCACTACTCATTACCCTGTTATTCCATCCAAGGGATTTCTCTAACCACTTACCTCACATATTCTAGACTCTTGTAATATGGAACCACTGGAAGTTCTATGACCATGCTTTGCTTTGTCTCACTTCCTTATCTTGCTAACAAGTAAGTTACCTTTGAATGAAATGTCCTCCCCAATCGTTGTCTTCCAATCCAAATTTTATTTAGTACTCACTATATCCTAGTTCTAGATAGGAACCCGGGGATACAAAGAGAACAGACAGGGCAAATGTCCTCAAAGAGCTGACAGTCTAAAGGGGGTAGGGGCAATGGCATGTAAACAAATACACAGGTGTGATGAACGCTATTTAAAATGTGATGATAATTATGGTAATAGCACGAAGGAGGAAGTAAACCACTTTGCCTCAGCAAAGGCTTCATATAGAAAGTCAGACTTGAGTTAGGTTTTAATAATGAGTTAAGAAAAATGTGACATATACATAAGATGGAATGCTATTCATCCTTAAAAAGGAAAAAGATTCTGACATATGCTACAGCATGAATGAACTTGAAGATATCATGCTAAGTGAAGTAAGCCATTAATGAAATAAAAAACACTATATGATTTCACTCCTATGTGATACTTGAGTAGGGCATGCAAATTCATGAAGACAGAAAGTATAATGCTGTTGTCAAGGACTGGGGGGAGGGAAGAATGGGTAGTCAGTGTTTAATGGGTATTGAGTTTCAGTTTTGCAAGATGAAGAGTTTTAGAGATGCTTGGTGGTGCTAGTTGTATAACAGTGTGAATGTACTTACTGCCACTTAATTGTACACTTAAAAATAGTTAAAATGATAAATTTTATGTTAAGTATATATTACCACAATTAAAAATAAGTGAGTTGACATTTTCCAGAGGTACAAAGGTGAACAAATAACAAATATTTAAATGAGAACAAGTGCAAAGGCATGAAAATGTGTAACAGCATCGCAAAAGAGTTCTAAGAAAAATCAATTCCAAGGCAGAGAAAAAAGAACAAGAAATCATCAAGCTGGAAAGAAATGCAAAAGGGCCATATCAAAAAGTGTTTTGTATATAATCCAAAGAGCAAAAATAGCTTTGCATGTAATATAAAAGAGTTCAAACTTTATCTGATAGTGCAGAAACAGTCAGTTTATAAACATCTCTTCAGATGTTGGCATCTGTCAGGGCTCGGTCCCTGCTTCTCTTTACTTCTCAAACTATATACTCCAACCGTGTGATCTCATCCATTAGATTCAACTGCAATCTATACATGAATGCCAATCAAATAGATATCTCTATCTCCTGGGGTCTTGTATACCAAATTTTCTTTTTTTTTTTTTTTTTTTTGGTCCTTTTTGAGACAGGCCACACCGCGCTCAGCCAGTGAGCGCTGTGAGGATCCGAACCTGCGGCAGAAGCGCTGCTGCGCTCCCAGCCCCGCACTCTCCTGAGTCCACCACAGGCTCGGCCCACCAAATTTTCCATTTAACAATTCTGCTGTGTGTCTCAAAGCACCTCAAAATCAGCACGTTTAAAACTGAATTGTCTCTCTGTTTTTTTTCTACCTTCCCTCATTATTCCTCTAAGCCTGTTTTTTTACCTATAATCTTTATCTAAATGAATGGCATATTATCAAGCAACAAATTGAAGCCTGAAACCTAGGAATCATAGGAGGCTTTGAATTCCTAGTACCCACTGCAGTAATTCTGGGTACTCAATAAATAGTTGTTGAACGATTTGCAGAGCAATGGATTGGAAGCTGTAAAATGGGGTAGAGGTTAGTGTCAGAAGCAGAAAGTAAACCAATAAAATAGTCCAGGAGAGAGATAAGAAGTTCTTAAACTTGGGAAGAAGAAGAAACTAAGTGATAGTTATAAATTTGACAGGTTTCAGTTGATTCATAACAAAGGGAAGAGTTAAGGATAACTCCCAGCTTTCTAGCCTGGACATTAATGTGTATGGTTTTACTATTAACTAGCAAAGCTAAAAAAGACAGAAAACTAAGTTTGGGTGATTATCATTGCATTGTTATTATCTATGAGCATATATATTTCCCTTTTAATAATTGAGCTACTTAAGATGAGGAAATTTTATTTATTTTTGTATCTCCAGCTTCTAGCACAGTATAGGATCTTTAAAAATGTCCATTAAGTACATATAAATGACTAGATTTAGCTTACGTGGGTGGGAGGTATTTGATATCATTAGCAGAAAAAAAAGGAGATAAATCCAGCAAGAGAAACATGATTGAAGGAGAAAGTAATTGAACTTTTGTCATAATGAACATCGGAACATTCATCCATTCATTCATTTATTTACTCACTTGATCACTTACTCACTCACTCACTATGCATTTATTGAGCACCTACTAGACCAGAAGTACCCAGTACACATGGTCAACAAAGAGCTGCAAATACCGGACTAGAGTTCCAGAGTGGGCCAGAGACAGTGAGAAGCACCCCAATCTATACCTCACTACATATATGTGCAGATTAAGTACTCCAGTGTCAGACTCAGAAATACTGCCACTAAAGTGAATGAGAATTACAAATTAGAAAAAAGGGCTCAGGCAAGAACACAGTGAAAAAAAATGACAAGTAGGGAACAGAAAGTAAGAGAAATTACAGGAGAAGACAGAGGATGCTCAAAGTTAAGTGAACCCAAAGACTAGTGTCAGAAAAGCCCAGCAAGGATAAATGTTCAAAGACAGGGCAGTATTAAATGCTGCAAACCCGCCACCCATGAATTAGTTCTAAATAAGGGACAGGTAATTTAGTTAAATCTAATCCAATAGCAAATATCTCAGACTCAGGACTCATGGAATTGTGAATGTCTTTTCTAGACTCTACTTTAATGATTATAATAGAATACTATAGAGGAAAAACATTCTTCTTAACAACCCAGGAACACCACCACAAAACGACTGTATTTTCCTTTTATTGGAGAAAAAAGAACTACCATTTGTTCTGCCTATAGCCCCTTTCACACTCTTGTCTCTCAAGATCCCAAGACTACTGTTTCAAAAATTCATTTGAATCAACTGAAATTGTATTCTGTCATCCAAGTACAGAGAGATCAATTCTGATCCCCTCCACATGAGGTTCTGTACCCACAGCAGTTGTGATGGAATATCCTGAGCAATCAACACTCCTCCAAATTACCTTTAGACTAAAAGCACATGTTTACAAAATGAGTTGGGGGATATTATGGAGCCTTACAATAAGTAAAGCACTGTACTAAGAATTGTGAGGAATAGCCAGCCACCAAAAAAACCAAAAAAACAAAAAATTGTGAGGAGTACAAAAGCATTTACTTTTTAACTTCAAGAAGGTTAAATCAAATTGAAAAAGAAAAATCAGACTTGCCCAAGTAAAACAGCACAGAACATTAGAGAGTATACAAAGTGATAAGCCATATACTATGCAGACTATAATTTCTTCTAGAGCTCAAAGAAAGAAAAGATTAATTTGGGCCAAAAGGAAGATTTCATAATGAAAGATAGAACTTGAGTCATAGGTAGTAAGCAAAGGCATTCAGACTAGGGAACAGAACAAATCATCAGTGAGAATGGGCAAGCTATATGGAAAAAATAATGAGATAATCAGCCTATCTAAATCAGTTTGGGTTGGAGAGAAACAGGAAATATGATGGAAGATCTAAGGTTCAGTTACATTATGAAAGGAGCTTAGACTGAGTGTTGACAATAGAAATCTATTTAGGTTCTTTAGCAGAAAGTTAATGTAATTTTTTTTAAAAAGGCCATTCCCATAGTCTAATTAAAATGAATGTAAATAGGGGATTTCTGGAATCACAGAATAATTTATTCTGTCCAAAATTAAAACAATCCATATGAAAATCAACCTTATAATATTGAATAAATGAGCAAGAATTGTCCCATTGTTCTTAGTTCCTGCTTATGTTCCTGTGATGTGCCCATCACAGACAAAGCCACAGTGAAACTCAAGACTGACGCATGTGTCCGTGGAGCTCTCCATCTGGTTGGAGAGAAGAGGCATTTCTGCAACATAAGCCTCATTAGCATGTGTTCTAAATGTTAAGAATTGTGCTAAATTCTCTGTGGAACAACACTAAGAAAGATAAAGAAGATAAATTCCAACTGTCCCTTAGATTTAGGTCTAGAAATTTGACTGCTTAAACTGTATATACCTCACCTTTAACAAAACAAAAAAAAATCCATAGATAATATCCTGAATTGGTATCATCATTGGCAAAGTCAAAAGACATGCCCCCGACCCCCAGAAAAAACCTAAACACAAGGCTTACTTAAACAATGATAGTAAACTTTCAGGCAAAAAAAAATGTATAGGCAGATTGCTCAACTAATCTAAACTACTTAGTGCACTGTATAATCTAAACAAAAGAATTGTCATCCTAATCTCCTTCCTTTCTACTCATTTCTTTGAGAATAACTGAAATACCAGGGGTCTTCAAAAAGTTCATGGAAAGATTCATATTATCTTTTAATTCTATTTTTCCACGAACTTTCTGAAGTACCTCCATATAAGTAGAATTTAGACAAGTTAATCTCTCATCAGGCAAAAACAGAGACCATGTGAAAATTTCTGAACAGGTTTATATGTACATCTCTGTTTTTTAGTGATGTTTTCCACATAAAGCTATTTCTCAATCAGGCACCTGCTAAATCCCTGAAAACATCTTAAATAAAACTGTAGAGGCTATCCTTTCCTCAACATATGTTCTTAGTGCCTTTGTCGAAGACCTGTTGTCTGTAAGGACAAGAATTGATTTCTGAGTTCTCTATTCTATTCCATTGGTCCGTGTGTCTGTTTTCATGCCAGTAGCATGATGTTTTGGTTACTATCACTTTCTGGAACAATTTGAAGTCAAGTAATGTAATGCCTCTGGTTTTTTTTGGGGGGGAGGGCTTAGGATTTCTTTCACTATTCAGGGTCTTTTGTTGTTCCAAATGAATGTGAAAATTTTTTTTTTCTATTTCTGTGAAGATGTTCTTGGTATTTTGACGGAGATTGCATTGAATCTGTAGATCACTTTGGGTAATGGATGGGCATTTTCACAGCATTAATTCCTCCAATCCATGAATATGGAATGTCTTTCCATCTTCTGGTGTCCTCTTTAGTTTCTTTCAGCAGTGTTTTGCAGTTCTCATTTTAGAGATCTTTCATTTCTTTGGTTAAATTTATTCCTAGGTATTTTAATCTTTTGGTAGCTAATGTAAATGTGCTTGCTTTCTTGATTTCTTTTTCTGCTTGATCGTTGCTGTTGTATAACTGTTGCTACTGATTTTTCTGTATTGATTTTGCATCCTGCGACTTTACTGAATTTGTTTCTGAGCTCTAGCTTGTTGATAGAGGTTATGGGGTTTTTTCATATATAGGATCATGTCGTCTGCAAACAGTGACAATTTGACTTCGTCTCTTCCAATTTGAATGCCCTTTATTTCCTTCTCTTGCCTGATTGCTCTGGCTAATAACTTCCAATACTATGTTGAATAGAAGTGATGAGAGTGGGCATCCTTGTCTTGTTCCTGTTCTTAAAGGAAATGCTTTCAATTTTTCCCCATTCAGGATGATTTTGGTGGTGGGTTTGTCCTATATGGCTTTTACTGTATTGAGATAATTTCCTTCTATACCTAATTTGTTGAGGATCTCTATCATGAAGGGATGCTGAATTTTGTCAGATGCTTTTTCTGTATTGATTGAGATAATCATGTGGTTTTTGTCCTTGCTTTTGTTGATGTGCTGCTGAGATAATTTCCTTCTATACCTAATTTGTTGAGGATCTCTATCATGAAGGGATGCTGAATTCTGTCAGATGCTTTTTCTGTATTGATTGAGATAATCATGTGGTTTTTGTCCTTGCTTTTGTTGATGTGCTGCATTATATTTATTGATTTGTGTATGTTGAAAAATACAAAATACAAAAATACAAAAGATTACAAGCCAATTCATGTACAAATAATTCATCTATTTGCCAAATGTAGAGAAAAAGTTCCACAATATGGAAGAAATACTTTACCTGATGTTTAGTAATTTCAGTGCATTTAGCAGCACTCCTCTCTTTACATCGAGGTCTATTTTCTGATCAGTTCCAAAGCTTGGGGCTCGATTAATCTAAAATTTACAAAGCATTAATAAATGTTAAAATAAAAATTTAATTAAAAAAATAAAATAATAATAAAAGAAAACAAGGAGATTAGCCAAATGCTGAAAGGTCAATAAATATTCAATACATATTTGTTCATATGCACATTTGGGATCTCCAGCCAGTGGAAGGACTCTACAACAAATCTCAGAACTTTGTACAGTAGATGGCCCAGTTACCACTGTCACACCTCCATTCTCCATCACTCTAGGTCAAGGAATTGCAAGGAACTAACTGTTAGCACCACCTCCTTCCCCTTGATGCCTTAGTTCAGGATCTTCACTGTCAACACTATCTGGCATCCCTCTCTTTTCTACTCTCTCCAATACATTGCCCCATGTGCTCTAGATTTTAAGTTTAAGAAAGTTAAAAAGGGACTTATCTGACAAAAAGGCAATATTCATGTTTCCAACATAGTACTAATTATATACTTTAGAAACTATCAGTGCCTTCTTTTCACTACTACTGCTGCCCCCAAAAATAAATTTTGTTACTTTCTATTTCTACCTGGTTCAAACAACAATTCATCAATTTTCATTTCAAAGGGCATTGACTATATTACTCAAAAGATACCCGTAAGGGTAACTGCAGACTAACCTCTATGAGCTTTTCTAACTTCATGATAACTAATGATAATAAATGAGCCATTTGTGGCTATTCTACTTTCTGACATCATTTCCAGGAATTCATTAAGGTGAAAAATAAGAAATAACTGTATATACTTTAAAATCCACTATACAATAGTCTACCACTTTATAAGCTGGAGTTTTTGTTCTGTCTTTGTTGTTGGGTTTTGTTGTTGTTGTTGTTATAAAAATGTAACTAGAATAGCAGGCGTTTAAGAAAATTATTTAATCAATTAAATCAATTGGTGAGAACACTGCTGAGTTCAAAACTATAGCTTAGCTTCTTGACCACCAACTCAGGCTAGCCCCTCAAGCTATCTAAACAAAAAAAGTGTATGCTACAGTTATAATTATACAAATCCATCATCACAAGAAACAAAACAACTGATAGCATGTATTCTACAACTGGCACCTAAGAAAATACCACATTATACTCAACAAATCATCCAGAAATACAATATCTGTATTACAAACATAGAACAGCTTCACTGCAGAAAAATTAGTAAAAAAGAAGCAAAACAAACAACAAAACATCACCTGTAATCCCACTACCTAGTGTATTGTTAACTATTTGGTAAATAGTATTCCAGTATTTTTTATGCATACATATTTAAGACATTCACTTTACCTTCCAAATACATGTCTGTACTAACCATACTTTATTTTATAATCCAAGTGTTTCTCTTAATGTATCATGAAAATCTTTCATCGTGCGATCATTTTGATCGATGCATGGTACTTCTTTTATAGAGACATGCCATATTGTATTTTGACTCCTTTATTGATTTCTGATTTAGAAAGTGATGAACATATTCCTGTATTTGTGATTTGGTCTCAAGGAGAAGAAAATAACTTGAAAATTGCAAAAACATCCATTTATTCTAGCTCATTTGAAAAAGGAAGTTTATTAGACTGTTACTTCGAAGCTCTAAGCACTTCCTCTTACAATGCAGAGAAAGAGTAATATATTTTATATGAAAAAAGTTTCAACCACACTGATTCAAATCTCCGACATTTGTAATACAATTTATGATAGTTCTGCTACTACATGTGACAAGATTATAAAATAAACCAGACATTTAGGAACTAAGGATTAAGTGGTTCACTGGAAATGTTATCGGTCTTTAAAGAATTCCTTGGAATGTTCCATTCCAAATTGCAATCTGGACTTCTGTCAGGTATATACCTCTCCCAGGATGGTACTGAGATTTTGGTATAAAAGAACCTCAGATCCATTTTTCTTGCCTATTTCAGATTCTTCCCTCTACTATAATATAAAAGAAATTAGTCCATGAAGAAATACACCCACACAAGATAAACCAATATGTGGAAAGGCAGAAAAACTTTTTTTCAGTTTAGGTGATCCTTGTCTCAGTTTGCTTTGTTTGTTTTATGAGAAAGGTAAAGAAAAAAATAAAAGAAGAACCATAAATGGCTGACAGAAGGAACTCTAAAAATTAGACAGCCTTGCACTCAGCCACAATTCTCGTCTGCAATGTTGATGACTTCTTTGTTCTTATTTCCTACCCTGATTCTAAAACAGATAAAAACCCAGCAGATCTTAGAGTCTTAAAGTTCAGCAGCTTGTAAATGCACACAAAAATGAAAATTATTAGAAAATAAATTAGTAAATATTAACTGTCCAAAACACAGTTTTATTATCAAAACAAGCGCAATCATTTCCTGTACATATCAAAGTTCCCATAATTGATTCTGGGCTCCCAAATTAGTGCTGTTCCCTCTGCCCTGTAGCCTTCCCATACCCCCACCTTATCTCTCCCAGCTCCTGGCCCCTACCCCACCTTCTAAAGCCTTAAAAACTGTGCTCAGATGTGCCTTTTGCAAAGATTTTTTTTTAACTCTCAAATATCCACACGTACACAGAGACTAATCCCTCTATTGTTTGTGCTATGTCCCTGTTACCTTACTAATACTTACAACTATTGCCATAAAACTCACATCTGAATCCCCACTAGACAATGGCAGGTATTGTCTTATTATTCTAGTATCCCCACCATCTAGCACAATGACTGTAACTTAGTAGGTCCTTGTTTAATTTCACAGTAAAGTATTGGCAGTTTATTCATACTCCACTCAATTTCCATTTTTTCCCTAAAAATGTTTTCCGTGCTTGAAAATTTCTGCAATTTTGCCATTACCAACCATCTATTCTAGTTAACTAGAAGTTATCATATTCTCAGAAGCATCTTCTGCCTTACTCCACTTGGTGGCGCCAAAAGTTTTTAACAATGTACGTTAGAACCATTACCATTTCAGCTGGGAGCAAAATACAAAAGAAAAATCTGAGTCTTTTCACTGTTTTAATATAATAAATGTTCATTATCCACAGCTGTTGGTTAACTGTGGAGTTTTTTTAACAGTTTGAATTAATCTGGAAATGATGGAGAAAATAAAGAATGAAGAAACATTAATGCAAACAATGGTATTTTGAGCCTTTAAAAAAAGACAGAATTCAACCATTCAGTTAATTCTGATTTAGTAAGCTAATGGAAAGTTCCAGTTAGGCAAATGCATTTTTTAAAAAGGTAACTAAAATATCTGTCAAGTCATTATTCCCTGCCCTTCTTTTAGTTTGTCCTCATGCATATGCCTTCACTTCTTCCCACCCCATCAAAGATAAAAAAACAAAGTAGCAGGGGCAGAACAAATACAGCTAAGAAAAGGAAAGGATTACCTTAGGCAAAGTAGTAAATCTAAAGAAGAAAATCTCAGGACTTAGTAAGATGAAGGATACAGAGTGCATACTCAAGTGTTTTCATAGCCAAGAAGTGGAGGAAGCAAAAGGTAAACAAAACTCATATTTATGTTATTTCTAGGACTCAGGCTGGAGCAAAATTTGAACACCCAGCAGAGAGAACTGTATTTGCTTGGAGATATAATACACATTATTTGCTCACAGTGGATGAACACACACATACAAACACACACAATCTTTGGCCCCCAAATTAGAAAAATGTTCATTCTGAAAAATATATATTTTGAATATCTTGATCTCACCTATCACTCATTCAATTTGCTTATGCAAACCTTGATATTACACATGTAACTTCCGACTTCTAAATCGCTAACAAAAAGAGAATCAATTTTAAATGAAAGGTAGTTGTTGATTACATCTTCTATAACAATATATTCCTTAAAATGTAACTAATTCAGTAAATACTGTTTAGATATGTGCTACTTTCCTGATTAAGTTTCCTAAATACAGTATTTCAGTGGCCCCAGATCAGGGAGCTTAGAGGGAATTGCTGGATGGGGGGCACTACTGTACCACAGGACTTCTAAGGTTTTTTCTGGGTAATATAAATATAAATATGATTGGCAGAAAAGATACAAAAATCTTAAATAGAGGTAATTTTTATTTTCTTCTTTACATTATTACATATTTACCAAATGTTAAGTGACCTTTTAAATCAAAGAAAAATAACAACTCTGACCATACCAGGCATTGGCAGCAAACCCAAAGGCATACAATTGCCAGGGTGAACATGAGGAGAGCCTCAGACATGTAATATGGTCTTAAGGGAGAATTTATGCCACCTGGGGTACTGGATATTGAATGCTGATTGACAAACAAATTGGAGCCTTTCTCCTCTTAAAGAGTTTGAAGTGGGCCGGCCCGGTGGCGCACTGCTACAGTGCGCCCTCCCGCCGAGGGTTCGGATCCCACATACAGACCGGCTGCTCACTGGCTGAGTGAGGTGCGGGCGCAACGCCGAGGGTTGCGATCCGTTGCCGGTCACGAAAAAAGACAAAAAGGAAAAAAAAAAAAAGAGTTTGAAGAGCAGNGAGGGTTGCGATCCGTTGCCGGTCACGAAAAAAGACAAAAAGGAAAAAAAAAAAAGAGTTTGAAGAGCAAACACACTGAAGGCAGGGTCCTGAAGCCCAGGCACCCAGACAGAGGAAAGACAATATCCAGAACTCACGAAGTGGTAGAAGCCATGAGGTTGAGAAAATAGTAGAGAATGTCAGGAGCAAATCAGTAAAAACAGATCCACACTTACATTCAAAGTTCCTGGCCTAGAAATTCACTCAATGCTAGTTTGGGAAAAGTAATAAACACATTGATTCAGTCTTAAAACTGTTCTATTCCCCGAATTTTCATTCTCTTCATCCCCCATACTCCATTCAGGACTCATTCAGGTCAGTTAATGGAACAACTGTGCCAAGCACACATTTAGAAAGCATTTGTTTTAATACATAAGAACAGTGATAACTTCTTTCTTCTTAAAGAACTCCTTACCTCCAGAAGCCATGGCTTTAGTTTTCTATCCAACAAAATATCAAATCCCAAGACTTCAAAGCAGACACTTTCACTTCCTGGAGGTTGACCAGGTCTGCACATTCGATATGCATGCAGCACGTGAGGTTCTGCTACAATCAAGGTCTTTACCACCAATTCCTATAAAGGTTGTGATAAAAGAGGTAAAAATGCCTTATTTCTTTGTATCTCATTTATATATGTACAAATATGACCTAGCCTATAAACTAGCATCCTGGCCAGTTTTACAAAACTCTATGTCATCTAGCCCCTGCCACCGCTCTAACTTCCTTTCATCCAACTCTTCCCCTACCCACTACACTCCAGGCATGATTAGTTACTTTGGGTTCCTCAAATGAGTGACAATTCCTCCTACCTGAGGGCCTCTGAATTAGCCATTCCTTCTCCCTGGAACACTCTTTCCCCTATATTCCCATGTCTGGCTCTTTGATATTGAGAGAGGCCTTCCCTGACCCCCAGATTAAAATCAGCCACCCATCATTCCTTACTGCATCGCTACACACAGCATATAACCATTTGATTTTTTTTGTTGTTGTTAGTGTAGGGTCCTGTCTGTCTTATTTACAATCACATTTCCAGTGCCTACAATAGTATCTGGAATTTAGCAGATGCTCAAAAATATTCGTAAACAAATAATCAAAATAAAAGTTAATAAGTGGCTTCTATTCATTAGATAAGTAGGGGCAGGAGCATATGCTAGCCCCACCCAGATTGGGATGGGATGATAGGGAAGGAAAATTGCAAGGAGAGTACATTATTTCACAAACAACATTATGGAACCTCCACTTAGACAAAGCTTGAAAGGGCTGGGAAGACAGAATCTATGAATAGAGTTTCCTTGTACAGTAATGATTTTGTAGTTCATAAGTTTTATCTGAGAAGAGAGTACTGCCAGTTAAAGAACTGGCTAGCAAATTATCCCATTGATTCACCTTAAACAGATATCTATATAAAGCATATACGATTCTTCATAAAGAAAGCAAAGTTTCAAGTAATTACATAAATACAGAGAGTTTGACAGTTTCCTTGTACAGTAATGATTTTGTAGTTCATAAGTTTTATCTGAGAAGAGAGTACTGCCGGTTAAAGAACTGGCTAGCAAATTATCCCATTGATTCACCTTAAACAGATATCTATATAAAGCATATACAATTCTTCATAAAGAAAGCAAAGTTTCAAGTAATTACATAAATACAGAGAGTTTGATAAGATAATTGCAGTAACAGTGCTTGGAAAAGTTAAAAATTTATTGGTTACTATATAACTGGTTATTTACAGATTATTAATAGACATTCTAACTAATGTGGCTGTGAAGAATGTAAAATTTACCCACTTATAGACAAAAATCATGAAATGTGTCAGAGCTTAATAGGCCCACATGCGCTATGTTTGAGTCATATCTAAAATTTATACTTTAGGTTCTAAGAGAAAAGTAAATTTCTATACCTTCTTATTAATATTAGTCTTGCTTGTATACCTTCCGTTAATTTAATTGTGCAGGGAAAGTACTACTTAAAATCAATGTATATAAAGCTAATGATGCTCATTTTACTCTCTGACTGATTCTCTCTATCCATTCCTCACCATGGCAGCCCAACGGGTTCCACCTTTTCACAAAGACTTCCCCAAAGAACAAACACATGCAGAAGTTAAAAATTTAGTCAAGAAAAAAAAAAAGAAAGAAAAGAATGTCAGAGGGTATATAAAACTTTCTTGGTCCCCGTAAGCTATTCATCTAATGACCCATTCATTAAATCATCCAAGTATCATCAGGTATGATCTTCCATCAATGAGCTACTGTGCAAAAATAACGAATTTTACCACTTTGATGCTTCTGACCCACTCTTACAGTAAACTGTCATTATTAGAATAGTTTTTGGAATTTCCACAAAATTGGCCATGATAAAATAAATAGTTAAATAAAATAAACACAGCATTGTTGTAATCAAATTTCTTATTTAGATGTAGTTAGTGTCTCAGGAAGATATAGTGCAAAGTCAACAAATTGGTGGACATCTGACCAAATCCAGACAACATGTTGGAGCCCTAACATTTTTCAAATTTTTGAATCCATTGCTGACATTTATAAATCATTTATGTCTTCCATTAATAAATTACAAGAATGAGCCACACCAGGCCCAAAACATCATGTGGTACCTATAAGCTGGTGCTGAGTGGTGACTACCCCTTCAGACCCCTTAGGCACTTCAAATTAACACAGCTCCCAGCACACCCCATTGTCTTCATTCAGACCACTCCACTCTTTCTTACTTGTCTGACACTTAAAGACCTTTGGATTTACAACCTGTGATATAGAAAGTAAGGTAAAAAGATCAACCAACAAAATAATCAACAAAAGAATAAATATAACGATGCTGATTTTTCTCTGTTCCTCTCAATTAGAGAGAAACAAGTTCAACCAACTCTCAATTTTTGTGGCCATCTTCTGTGAGAGATTTATTTAAATTATATATTGTTTGTCCCCCAAAGAAAGCTAACTTGAATTGTATAGCCCTAATGATATTAAATATTTTCAATAGACACACTCCTCTAACTTTAAATAAAATTTTAATGCTTCTGCTAGGGTTGATCAGCTTCACCACGGTTATCTTCTCACATCTGTCTCCTTTTATCTTTTACCATCACCATTTGGAATTCCATCCAGTGCCATGGCTTAATTACCAACTGCACCCCAGATATGCACTTTTAACTGCCTCCTTAATATTTCTACCTGAGGCAGCCTTTCAAGTTCAACATACCAAAAGTGGAGCTTATCATCATAGTCTCATGGACTTTAAAAACCTCAGTTTAGGTATCAATGTCCCCAGGAAGTTCCCCCTCCTATCCCTATCCACTCCAAGTTACTATATGTGGTCTTCCTGTACATCCCCACAGAATCCAATGCATGTCTCTGTTGTTGCAGTTGCTACACTGCATTTTATTAACAGTTTATGTGTGGGTTTTTCCTACTAGACTGTAAGATTTTTGAGGACTGGAGCTATGTCTTACAAATCTTCAAATTATCAACCAAAGACAGGCTTATACTACCAGTTCAACATTTATTGAATTAACAAATGTACAAATAAACAAATAGAACACTTTGCCTTCATCTTCAAAACCAGATTCTACATCTTTTAAAAATAAATTCCTTCATACTCCATTTCAGATAATGACGCACCCATTCTCCCTACAATTCCTTCTTAAAACTTCAGAGGGGTCTCTGAATACTTCTTCCCCATCTTGGACATTCAGTTAATCCCAGTGTTTACCTCATTGTCACCTCTTTAACTGTGGTTCAATCCAGACCATTCTTTTGACTTAAAATACCACAAGAGCCTTCCATGTGCCCTCTCTACCTACTCTCTGTCTTCCTCTAATCTATCTTATACCTATTTTCAGATTTATCTTTTAAATGCATAGTTTTGGGTCATATTACTCTCCTCCATTAAAAACCAAATGTATCCCTATTGCCTACCAAGTTAAGCATTGCTTTTCAGACCTAAAATTTGTCCCCACATACCTTTTCAGCCATGGGCCCTCACAAATCTTCCACATACTCTATGTGACAACCTGCACCACATATCATGATTCTCATACCTCCACGCCTTTACTTATGCTTTCGCTTCCACCTAGAACTCCCTCTCTCCCATCCCTAACACTAAAAATCCTACTTACCAAGGTCCATCACAAGTTCCACTTCCTTCATGAAAATGCTCTTTATCTGCCCAACCTTATGTAATCTGTTCTTTATTTAAAATACCTGATGGTGCTTTAAATTAATGCTGAGGAAAGACAGTTATAATTGTGGAATGGTATAATCTTACTGAAATATCACTCCAAAACTTAGCAACATCATGTTGATTTGCTTGTAGAAATTCTGTAAACCATCTGATGGAACGTTTGCTGCCTTTGTTTTCAGTTTCATCCCGTTCAAAACGTTCATTATGCTTGTTCACAGAGTAGTTTGTCAGATGCATGTATAACTGGGTCTGTAGAAAGTGAGAACCAAAGTTGTTACCACCTATGAGACTTTAGAACTGTGAAGTTTCACAGAAAAGAAAGTATTCAAAGACTAAATGCAATCTTAAAGTCTAAACTATGCAGACTGACAATCTCATGGTTATTTAGACAATTTTGAAATTAAACAGAATGGCACATTTCCCTTAAAAGGATTGAAAATGTCATCATCTACAGTTACTTTATATATTATTCAAAATATATCTACCATAAAAAGTATCAAATTAATAAGCATATAGAGAAAAATTAAATCAAAATGTGAAATTAAATATTGCTAAGCAAAAAAAAAAAAAAAAAAACAACCTCTGCATTTGTATTTGTTTGTTTTCAATGTTTTTGGTCCTTACTGTTTTCGCCCAAATTTGTTTTGGGAAAGGAATTTTCTATGAGAGCATTCTACATCTTTTCAAAGAAAAATAAAAATTGTAAGCTCAAGTACGTAGTACAAACCTAGAGACAGGACTACCAAACACCACTTCTGCACTCCCATACTGACTGGGAGGCCGCTTGAACTCACTGACAAAACAGAGTGCACTTAACATTCAACAGATGCAATATACCTCTTAATGCTGTATAGATGTCTAAACGGTTCACAGTAAATGCATAGTGCTCCATACTAGGGCTTTTACATTTTAATCTCTTTATATTCTTAAGTTTGTTGATACTATTTTCCCCA